CAGTGCTTCTTTAATCACTACAGCTAGATTCACGCAGAAACATCAGGTACTGTGAAGTAAGAGTGTCTAACAAACTGTTACTGAGTTGAATTTGGAATCTTATGCATTTGGAAAAGTTAATCACAAAAAAACAGATATATTAAAGGTCGAATCTTGAACAAGTACATGCAAGCACTGTGTAAATCTGAGAGACTTATTCTACGATTAGGCGTATATTTTGGGCTCCAAGGACTACTTTAACTTCTATGGGCAACCTCCTGCAGTGTCATGCTGAAACTCTTCCTTTAAAATAAAAACACAAAAGTTCTCTTCATTTTATTTCTCTGTAGATGCAGATCTAGGTCTTCACTCATTTTGTGTTTTTCCCACATTTCATTCCCAGAGGAAGCAGAAAAGCCCTGGTTCATCTGACCAGCATTTGAAAAAGCTTTTGGAGGTCCTTAGATATCCTAATACTTACAGCTGATCTCACAGAGCCTTATGAAATGGAATAGAGCAGTGGGTGAAATTCCTTTGACAGTCTAGCCTTTGTGGCTACATCTGCAGTATACCTGAAATTTTCTAGTCCTGAGAATAGCTGGAAGCTTAGTGCACTCCTTAAGACTTCTGGATGGCCACACCATCTTCACAGAGAGCTAGAAAGGCAGCCTACCCTACAGGTCTCTACCGCTGTCACAGAGGCCAACATTAAGCATATAGCATACATTCTGTGATCATTTGTCACAAAAGGCTGTTGTAATATGGGGATGCCTAGAGCTCCAATGCAACGAGCTTTATATAAAAATGGATTGAGTTTTCTATAGAATTCAGAGTTTTCAGTAGAATTCAGAACACATACATTTTTGTTTAATTTCAACTTTTTTTTTTTTATTGGTCTCATGCTACGCCCTAGGTCTTGATCATTTTCATCTCTCTGAATAATGCAACAAGTGAAAATGTCCCATGTAGATACCACATCTAGAAAGGCATGCACATTACTAATAACAGGCCATGGACTCTGTTAGGGCAAAGCTACTTAGCTAACTTTACTGGTTTACACCAGCCCACAATGTGACCCTTGAAAGTTGTCCTTTTTTTTTTTTTCTTTTTTTTTTTTTTCATTATAGTGGGACAATAAAGTCACTACATTTATAGCCCAGAATACTCTCTGCATATTCCAATATCTTGTTTGCTCTTTTAACAGCTGCCAAATACTGTGCAGATGGTTTTACTGAATTATCAACAATCACTCCAGAGGCAGTTCTGATATTCCTGTCCTTGGGGCTGAACTAACTGGGGCCAGCACGCCCTTGGTGCAGTCCTGTTGGCGCAGCACATTTGGCCCACTGACCACATAGTGCACTGCCTGCAATTACCTTCTCTCTCCTCCTCTTATCTCAGTTTACTGACTCTGTATTTATCTTGGTCCCTTACTTCCTTATCTAAAACACTGCAATCTTCCAGGTCCCCTAATGCAGCTCATGATTTGACTCCTGTTGTTCTCATCTAATATTATTGTCCCTTTCTGCATTTTACTTTCTCTCTTTCTTTTCCTGAAGCACTCCCAAAAGCACTGGGGTCTTAAAAGTCATTGCTGTTTACAGAGTTTATTACTTTCCATCATTTCTTATGATCCTCCTGCAGTTTGTCTTTCCAAACAAGTTATCGCTGTGATTTATTGTATCGGTCATACAGTCTTCTTCTTCCCGTACCAATCAGCTTCAGCTTAGCAATTTGGTAGGGCTAGATTTCTCCCATTTCTGTGCCTCCCCAGGGCACACTGGGATCATGCTCTTCTGACTTTCTACCTAAATGTAGACCTCATCATGTCTCTCAGGGCATGTTCAGGGCATTCTACCAGGCAGCAGCCTTGCCTGCGTGTTTTTGAGCAAACATCTCAAGTTCTGAGGAGCTGGTACCTCTACAAAACCACTTTCTTCTGCCTCTATTGTGTTCTGTAACCTTATTCCTATACACCCCAGGGAAAACTGAAAGCCACCAAAGCCACTCTTGATGGTGTCTCTAAAATATTCAACCTCAACTCCCATACCTGAGTTTCTATAAATTGCCACCGTACAAAAAAAAAACAAAAAAAAAAACAGAGTTCACTAAAATCCTAGTATCCTAGAATATCTTCAACTGGAAGAGGTGTACAAGGATCATTGAGTCCAATTCCTGCCTCCACACAGGATCACCCAAAATTCAAACCTTATTTCAGAGAGTACTGTCCAAACACTTCATGAACTCCAGCAATTTGGGGCTGTAACCCTGGGGAGCCTGTTCCTGTGCTTGAAAACCACCAGGTGAAGGACCTTCTTCTAAAACCCAGCCTGATTCTTTCCTGATACGAATTCATGGCATTCCTTTGGGTGAAGAATTGTTTTAAAATATCTTCCAAGTGGATCAGTTGTGTCATATCACTGAATAGAAGAGAAAAGAAATAGGTGAAATCACCTCTACTCATTGTTTTTGGGGGTTCTTGCTGCAATGAGCTGGCACAGCCTACATTGCAGATCAAACAGCAAACATTATTTTGGACCCCTGGCTATCTGGAGTAAGAAAAGAGACACATAAAGGCAGTTTTGAAACAAAATGAACCAAGCTACTACCAAACCAGTAAAAATAAAAAGAATAAAAATATCAACAGCTGTAGTAACCTTACTACTCTGCAAAAAAGCATGGGCATGGGCAGAAATGTCCAGAGAGCTTTGCAAAAGCAAAAAGAGAATTGTATTTCATCAGGTCTAAACACCTGATTGTGACCTTGCTTCAGAGATACCTTCCTGTAATGTCTATTAATATCAGGACGTTCATTTAAAAATAATAAAAACACCAAAAACAACCCACTTCAGTGTAGGCTGTGCTTTGTTGAGGTCAGTTCAATGACCATCTGCAGTATGGATAATACAGTGGCAGTATAAAGGCATCATACATTTCTAGGATGTATAATGCTATAGTCTTGGAGAACAGTATGCTTATCTATCTCTTCTTTTAGTGATGTTTTGGGTGTCATTTTCACACATAAAAATAGTTCTTCGGGAAAATGTCAATGAGATTCTTCATGGGAATTTTCAGACTATTACACAAGATGGCATAAATATTTCTTTCCCACATGTATTAAATTTGTATTCAATGGGAACCCAGTATTTCAACCTCCTGAAGTAAGACATGAAGTTTCCTGAACTTACGGTGCCTATATGGTCATAAAAGCTGGGTGGCCCTCAGCCTCTTGCAGATGCACTTAGGATTCTTAGGGATCTAATAGATATTCTCTGGGTAATCTTGTAGCTTTCAAATGCTACTGACCTTATATTTCCATTCCGCCCCCTCCACCCTGCCAGAAATTATCACTCCTGTAGCAGAAGCAACAGAAGATGAGGCACTGAAATGCTCTTTCTATAAAAGAACAAGGAAGACAGTGCAGCCATCTATCACATATGCTCCAGTTCCCAGCTTGATATCTCAGCAAAATGCAGAGGACTTGGAAATGGAATTTCTGAGGTACAGGCACCTGCTAGCAGCTGCTACCTTCCTTCCAAGCTACTCTGCCTCAGGTTAAAACAAAATAAAAAAATAAAAATATAAATCTCCTAGACTCTTACAGCTAGATTCAAGTGGGGTATTTCAGAGTGATGATTCTTAAGAACATAAAATACCACATTAATTAAGACTCCCTAAACATTTTTGAAGTAGATTATTTGGAAAAGCCCTCAGAGCTATTAACTGAACACTGAATAGGATCATTCATGTGTGCTATTACCTGTAATACAGAAACTGAAACTAATAATCTCCAGAGGAAAAAGTGTAGCTATTAACAACTCAACAATTTCATCACATTACTCTTTGCACACATGGATCTATTTCCTACTAATAACAAGAAAAATAAAGACTTTTTTTTTTAATATTAAAAAAGGCAAAAATGTTACCAGATGATATTGTCCCAAGAAGATGAGTTTGCAGTACAGTCTAATCTGATGTCCATACAACTCTGAAGTACTAACCCATGGGAAACAGTCTCAGGTATCTCAGAATCTCAAAGCAGAAAGGGTCCTGAAGAAAGGGCCAATGGGGAAATATGGGAGAATATGTACCAATACTCTCATCTGTCATCATTACCACAACAGCCAACTCTAAATAAAGCAGGCAGATATGGTCTGATCAGCATGTGAACTTCATGCTTTTAGAGAATGTACTGTTAAGAATTGCACCACAGCTGATATATAGGAGTTGCACTGGTGACCTTGGAAAGAAAAGGCTTTGGTTCTCTAGCATGGAAAGCCATATCCCTAAGGCAAAATTTGTGCACTGCCCTAAACCTGCAATATTAACTCCTTTACATGGAATCTGAGGGACTCTGCCACATCCTTATCTAACTGCACCTCTTCAGCTACCAGTGTAGCTGAACTGCCACAGCAAAGGAAGAACGTTTGAGAACCTACACCTGAAGCCTGTGTTTTTCCTCCTGCTATGATACAACTGAAAACAAAAAATCCCAAATAATCAAAAGCCCAGCAGCCCAAATATACATGACAAAATTCAGTAGGATATTAAAGTGCTGTGAAAATGTGTGTGAGTTCTCAGTTGGAATCAATCCTCTGAATTTATGTAGTCCATCCTTCTTTCTCTTGTCAGTCAAATACAATGCTCTGTCAACCTAAATACTATGATTCGTATATAACAACAAGTGAATTGTGTGTATTCCTCATTTTTCCCTCTTCCTTTCTTTTTTTTTTTTTTTTTTTTTTTTTTTTTTTTTGTCACGTTTTTCAAGATGCCAACCTAAGCACTGGGAACAGATCATTATCATCTCCTCTTCCACATGGAAGAGCATTACTGCACGGGCCTCTCCAGTCCAAATGTTTAGGAATCCAATACACAACAATCTTGCAGGAATCAGCTGCCAGATTTATTATTCTACCTGAAAACCCCAAACAAATAAACAAATAAACAAAAAAAAAACCAACCTGAAAAAAAAAAAAACCAAAAACAAGAACAAAACCAAACTCAAAGAAACGAAAAAGTGGAATAAAAACAAACTTTAAATAAAATTCTTAGGTACATTTTAAAAAGGGTTAATCAGTTCAGTGAAAGACTTTTTATCTTCTGCTGAAAGATCATGGTAATGTTGGACTGATTGCTTGCTTTTCAGTGAGTCACTACCCTATACAGATACATATATATATATATATTTCTTCTTAAATATTACACATTTTATGCATTCAGTCCTTTTTTTAATCTCTTTTTCCTTTTTCACCCAATCCCTCTCCCACACCCACATCCTGCCACAGGCAGGAGGTGCTTCATGCTGACATTAAGTAACCGAAACCAATCCATGGACTTTTCATCAAAGCATGTTTCATTTGGACCTTATTTGAATTGAAACTGCATATTTTTTTTAAACAATCTTACTTAACCTTTTCTTTTTCCTCCTTCCCAATTCTGCAGTTTGAGACTTGTGATTTTGGGTTGATCTCTACAAATTTAAGTGCCATTGAAAATTACAGGTGACAGAATTAGGTGACATAGTAAGGCATATACACACTCCCATAAAATATCTTGTCTTCTGGATCTGACTAAATTAAATACCTGCTCAAATGTTTTTTATGCACCTGTGGTTTCTAATGATCACTACTTCTTTACTTTTGATTAATTGCTTCTTAAAATATTCATAGCTTAACTGATGTCTTAACTGACACGGGATGGAAAATTTATTCACAAACAAGGACTGTCTTTGAAACCCATCCATTGTGATGAAAATTACTGTTTGATATATTCATTTTCCTCCCACTTCTTGAGAACATAATATAATGATGTACTCCATATAACACCTGTTGAAATTTCACTGGGCAAAGAAAGAAACCCCAATCTTACCAGCTCTCCCTTTCCTCAAACTAGGATATATTACACTTCAGAAAAGGTGCTCATAAATCTTTAGATTTTTTTTTTTGTCTTTTTTTTTTTTTCATTTTACATACAGAATATTGTGTGTGGCTTGTGTTTAAGATTACCCCTCAAAAAAAAAAAAAAAAAAGAAAAGAAAAAAGCAAACCCACAACAAAACAAACCCAATTTAAAAATATAAACAATGGGAAAAAAAAGAACTCAAAATTTAAATTGTCTTCCGAGCATATCTGATCACATTTACATTTAGTGTCCAAAACAAGTTGATTGGTAACATCAGTGCCAGCACTACAATGTCATACAGTGACTTCATGGTATTGACAGTTCATCTACTCTCCGTTCCACCGAATATCACAAAAGGTTCTGCAGAGCTTTCCTCAGCAAGCTGAAGCTTACTAGTCATTTGTGAATGCGCATAAAAGCTGCTTACAGCACAGCTATGGCGTAAGCTATTTTCTAAGCAATAAATGGTTCAAGTCATCTATTTTGTCCTGAAATGCTACCTGTAGTTACAGCATTGCTTATAAATGGTCATAGTAAATTCAGCATCAAAGAGAATATTACAGAAAAAGACAGCAGCAGAAGCATTAGCATTATCTAGTATTTATATATGTTATCAACATAACACAGCAGTAAAAGGTTTAAATGCATATTAATGGGTACCATGTCTAAAAATTACTAAAGTACCTATTTAGTGTATTGGATATTTTTCTCAAGGAGTGCTTGCTGTGTCTAAACAGCATAATTAGATATGTGACTTAGTACAGTTAATTCCTATTGATTAAATAACTTATTTATGTACCAAAGGAAATGGAAGGATACGAAATGTTTTCTCCATCCTGATCATGATCCCGTATTTAATGCTGACATGATCATCAGACAGCCTATCACATGTAATTACTACCCTCAGATGGATCCTGGAATGTCCAAGTGATAGCACTAGCCATATATGTATAGTAATGTGACTCCAGTTACAGCATGCAGCTTGTAGTCTGAAGTCAGGGATTTTGTGACTTAGTCCTTGTTTTTAAGGCTACTCTGCAAATAAGTGGGATTTTTCTTTTTCTTTTTTTTTTTTTTTTTTTTCTTTTTTCTTTTTTTTTTTTTTTTTGAGGCCCTACAAACTAGCATACAAACAAAGTGAAACTCTAGAGATATCTGTTTGCTTTTGGAGGCAAGCTGCAAGGTCCAGCACTTCAAACTTCTAAATTAAATGCTGCAGTATATGCTTTGCTTCTCTTTTATATCTGCAGAAAGACAATTAAGAATGGCAAGAAACAACTGCCCTAGGCATGTTGTGCTGATATTATCAGCAAGTGGTTATTTTGCACAATGAGAATTAACTGTACTACGGATACCCAGAGAAAATGTACAATATTTTATGTTGATGTGAAACAAAACAGACATGATATAGCTTTTTTGTACTTAAAACCTGTATGTTCCCTTCCCAAACTTAATAAAAAGCAAACCCACCCTTTTCCTCCTGTTACACACAATAATGTTTAGTTTCCAACCCTCCCCTTTCAAATAAAGTGCGCTGTCCATGGCAGACCATAGGAATAATGCAACAGGAAAAGCCCCTTTTAGTGTACTATTTAAAAAACAAACTGAAGTTGATTCAGCTTTCCTCTGGCTCTTGTGAAAGAGGAGAAGCCTAAGAGAGGGGGAAAACACCCCCTTTACTGTCACTGTTGTTAGTAGACATAGCCTTCATTATATGGGTGGGTGTTGCAGCAGCCACTATCTTGCATGTAGACCATGCTCTCGTCAAAGTGGGACAGGGGAACAGTGTCCTCCTCATTGATGTGGCGCTCCATGTCAGTCTTCAGTAAGGGGCGCTGGTTGTCTGGAAAGGCCATGGAGAAAAGCGCTTCAGGGTCGCAAACAAACTTGTAGACGTATCTTTCTCCAGCAACCTTAGGATAACAAAAAAAGGTAGCATAAGTGTTGATGTTTTTGCAACTCCACATTCATTTCTGAAGAACTCATCTTTATTATACAGTTATTAACAAGGCAGCAGAACGGGTAAGGACAATAGTAGAGACTAGGGATCTGCAGAAGCAGACTATGAGGAACTGTCTTGATTTTGAGACACGTGATATCCTTTTGAAAGGTGTACTAGCTATTTTACTTTCAAACTTCGTTTGTGGTTGTTTCTTATACTTAGCCACAAATGGAGCTGTTAGTATAGGAAAATGTAAACAAACTGTCACTACAGAGGCAAAATAAAATGACTAAGTCCAACACTGTGTGCAAAGTGGAAAAAAAGAATCACGTTGCACGATAGAGATCTGAATTTCACTTTACGTAGATTGATTCATACTTAAGTATAAAAGCACTTAGTTATAGTGCACGCTGATTGTACAGGGACAGCGTAAGCAAATACGTAAGCTAATATGTACTTAGCAATTGCTCATGCAAAGCCTGGGACATTTAGATTTGCTTATGGAGTGGCAATTTGTCCAACAATCCCAGTTTTCCCTTACTCAGAAATACCACTAAATGTCTGTGTTTTGTCCAATTAAAAGCTAAAGAATGATATTAAAACAAAGCAAAACAGAATTACTGCCTTACTAAAATCTAAAATGAAAAAAAGCTACTCAGTAGTGCCTCCTCAAGTGCCATATTTAAAGAATTACAGTAAAAAATATGAGTAATATTGCATTCTCATCAAATAAAATTATTTGAAAATAAAAATCAAAATGATCATTGATTCCTGCAACACCATCTAGCAAGGCACTGAAAATGAATGTATGAAGATGGAAAGGTAATGCAAAGTTAACTGTATTCTTATGGGTGCAAAAGAGTCTGTAGCATCTCCTTAAATTTTCATCTTATCTTTTCTACAAATGTAATATTTTGGTAAAGACAATATCTGCAAGAGAATTTTTTTTTTTCAGCAAATTAACATCAGGAAATTTTACAGACTGAAGTCTGCACTCAGAAACGGGATATTTACACAGCATATTACCAGAGCTTAACTTAAAACAAAAGGGGAAAAATATACGTACACCTTTTGCAGTAAAGAAACTTGCTACAAATTTATAACCCCATTAGTTTTAGCATAAACTAAGTTGCCAGATAAGATGATCCAAGGGAAAGTTTCAAACATTGCTATGTTAGAAAAGTAAGCAATCAGATTAGTTTTTAAAATGTGTGTTAAATACAGTCATATAGATAATAAAGGAGTAACTAAAGAGTTAGCAAGTTAGTTGTCAGAAGAACATGTTAAATGGACGTGTCCATATTATCTTCCTATTCTCATCTTTTCAACTTTTTGTACCCTCTTTGCCAGATATTCTTGATTCTGGGCTGCCTTTGAATTGTCCATGCAGCCAAAACTAAAAACTGAAACGAGAAACACCTCTGTCTGTAGCAGCACCCAGAAAATCCAAGCATTTCTGCTTCTCCCTGACTGTACCTAGTTTCCAGTCCACAGAAACTAAGAGCACAGGTAAACGACACACAAAAATGGATAGGGCAGTGTTGTTGAAGTACCACAGGCACAGGTTGTACAAGCTGTACCCCCTAGAGAGTGAAACAGGTGATCACTACAATAATCCCAGAGTATAAAAAGAGAACCTGTAGTAGGTAACTCCACGCAGACTTCAAAAGTCCTACTGGAAAAGCTACCTAGCAACTTGGGCTGAGGGCATTGTTTTCTCTCATGCAGCTGGCCAATGGAAGGTTTAAACATGTTAGTCATCACAGATCACAAAATGAATGTGCAAAGATATACAACAAATATATAATACAAGGTGTTCATTGTGATCTTTGACCATACCTAATAACTTTCTAGAAGTAGGAGGTCTCTCATGTTGTCAAGCTACATAACTCTACGTAGCAAGATTTAAAAATATACACAGAAATGAGCAAACTACAGGAAAATAACAGGCTGAATACTGTCAGCAAGACCAGGCTGTTATACATAAATTTTTGTTAAATATTTCTCATAGTTCAGTATATTATGAAATACTGAATTTCACTTAAAAATAGCATTATTACAAAACTATTATTACAAAAATTGATAAGATATTTAGTTTTTTAATAGGTATCATTTTTCTCCCTTAACTTGCAGTTATAGAAGTATCTAAGCAATGGTCAGTTAATTTAGATCTGTAAAATATTATTCTTATTGTACTCTGCTATTTGCCTTTCCCATGTTCGAGGAAGCTCTTTTGGATATTTTTCAATGCTACCTTTTTCCCTTTAATCCTGATGTGCATTTTGTAAACTAAAACCACATACACTTTTTACACAGAGAAAAATATCTAGACGCATACACTGGATGTGGAAGATGAAAAATAAAGCCTATGGTTTGTCTAAAGAGATGAAAAACCTATCTAAGCAATGTAGTTATAAGCACTCCTTGTAAACTGACTAGTGGATTAATATTCAACATTTCAGTGAAATTTAATACAGAATTAGCTGCTCACCTTTTGCATGATTCCTTTTTCATAATAATAGCGAAGTGATCTGCTAAGTTTATCATAGTTCATAGCTGGCCTATTTTTCTGAATCCCCCAGCGACGTGCCACCTGCCACAAAAATGGATTAGCATTGATTTGTTAAATGCATTTCACAAGCAGATCTTATCATCAGATATTTTATTTGGGGATTGAGTAGGGGAACCCTGCAGGTGGAATGCATAAATAAAAGAGAAGAGGCTGCTGTGACCTGAATTTCCCATGTACTAACACAATTTTTAATTGGACTCACCATCATCCATTAAACTTGGAATAGACTTAGTCATTTGCAAACCTAGTGGTGGACTGGTTTTTGTTGTCATTGCTTTGTTTTGTTTTTTAAAGAAAAACAATGAAAAAATAGTTATATAAAGATATGATAAAAAAAAAAAAATCAAGCTCCACTGGAAAGCTTTAAAGAAAGACGAAAGCTCTTCTTCAGTTAGTTATAGGAATGATTGCGCTATTTTTTTGTGTTTTCTGTCAGAAAGCTAGTAAATTACATTAGAAACACATATATACAAGCTTAGTTCATGAACTAATACAGGCCATAACTTGGAATGATGTCAGTGCTGAGATCATTAGAAGATGGGAGTCAAAAATGAGTCCTAAATACCACTACATAAAAAAAATAAATTAAAAAAAGTAAAGGGAGGCAGGATAATCACTTGGAGGAACTAGGTGGCAGAATGAACCAGACAGAAATTGCACAATTGTAGTTGTGTAATTTCCCTTAAAAATAATATCAAAAAGTAGTCACTAGCAACTTGTGAACCATTCCAGAGAGCGATATGGCTTCTGCTCCTATGATTTCTACTTGGCTTTATTCTTCCTGTTTTATTGCCAAAGATAGTTCTGGAGAAAGAGACTTTTTGTTAAAGAGCTTAACAGCTTATTCCCCACCCAAAATTATAACTGGTCATTGGCAACATTTCAATTACTGTCTGTACAAATGACTACCCATGTCAATGGAGGAGGGAAAAAAGAAGCAATGAACTCTTTAAAACACATTCTATAAAAATGTTAGCGAGGTTCATATGCATACAGCTCTGGAAAAAGTAAAGAGTAACCATGTGTCTTCTCTGCAGACAACTCTACAACACCTTCCCATAGGTGTCTGGAGTCTTTTGATGCAAACCATAGACAACATCCAGAATTGAGAACTGAAGGGGACTAAATAACAACAGTAAAATCCAATGACTTTGATCTCCATCTGGACAGTAATTATTTAAAATTTATTTTTAAAGCATTATTTCCTTTCTACAGATAAGACTTTCAGGCTTATGTAAATTATCAAGGCTTTGCTAACTTTAGCCAAGTTGTAACTGTATTAAAACATACATCCAAATCATGTCAATTTATACCAGCTGTAGATTTGGCTTAGATATGCAACCATAATTCGCCTATTCATCTTTGTAACACATGCCTACATCTATCTTTCTTCATTCCTGACAAGTTTTTTCCTGCATTAATCACAGTCCTAAAAATCACCATTGTATCAAGTGTGCATAATACAGCAAAGCATACAAAACAAAACAGTCATCGAGAACATGTTATACTGTATGTTATTTTAACACATGTGAAAAGGCAGGCAAGTACAGAAGTAGTCTTTGTAAGTGAGTCTTCCTGTCCTTCATCTGCAGAGCATATATCAAATCATGCCTTGAGGAAGTGAGTTGGGGTTCTAGCCTTCCACTTCATCTTCCTGCTGAAGGTTACTGTGTCTATGACAAGGCAACAGAAATGGCCCTACGCCAGTTCTAAACCTCCACAGTTTACAGTCACATGCTTTCTGAATGAACTGTGGTGCCCAAAAAGCTGATACATACTCGTTTCTGTCATCACTCTTTCTACAGGGACATAAATCTGAAGAAAGGGATGAGATACAAAGGTCATACCATTGACATCCTAACCTGCCACAGCTGAATCAACAAGATCTTTGACTTCCCTTCAATTTACACTTGGCAACTAACAGAAGTGTGCAACTTCCCACAGGCTATTCTTATTTTAATCAACAGTTTCAGTTGGATCCACAGCATTCACGTGAAAACAACTTAGCCTCCTTTGTATTCCCTGAGAGCAGAGGAGCAAGCAAGTTTGAAGTAGTCTGCCTTTTCCAGATCTCAGATGCAGCATTGCTCGAAAACACAAAGCAACTGCTGTGCAGTCTCACAAACAGACGATCTGACTAACTTTCATCTATCTCTTTGGGGAATTACGCAATAAAGAACTCTTAGGGCGTTGTTTTTTTTATTTTCCTTTCCATATCTAATAAAATCTATAACGTTTTTGCACCATCTGCTGGGAACGATTTTTCAATAAATGAAAAATGAATGATTTTTCAATAAATGAAAAATGTTGGATACTGAGATTGGAGCAAAGGATGTTCTGTGGTCAAATCCTTAGATGCACAGTGTCAGGATCTGCCAAGTTGAATATAAGTAGCATTGGAGAGCACCTGGACAGAAAAGAGCTGGCACATGGTCTCTGCAGCAGTCTGCCCATCAGCCAGACCATGTCAGGAAGAAAAGGAGCATTAGTATTGTCTCAATATCCAGCTACCCTTAGGGCTGTTGATGCATCATGAAACTTAAATGCAAGAAAGCTTTCAGATTGCTTATGGCAGCAGATGGATGGCAAATGGCAGAAATAGCTGGTAGAATGAAGAAGCTGCCTTACACCCCCAAAGCTTCCCACTCAGCTCTAACTCAGAAGGAATCCAGAATGAGAATTTACTGTGTTCTCTTCTATTGCTCAACCCCTTCCAAGCTGCAAGATGTAAACCAGAATGATATTGCTTTTTTACAATACTCATCAAATCATCCACATCAGTATTACAATAAAATTCACACACACCAGATTTTCTAACAGTTTTCACTGCTGTTTAGAATACAGGATAGATTATTTAATGTTAACAAGTCAAGAATCTTTATGCAATAAAATGTTCAATTTATTCCTGTTTATCACACTAGTGAACTAAGTCATGGTTCAGCAAATGTTCATGAATACAAGCAATTTTATCTACCCAATGAGTCCTTCATGGTTCAGAGAAGCCAGGCATGTGCTAGAGTTTTTGCAAGAGTAGGATCTAAATGTGCAATAAGTAATCTAATGATACAGATAACCAAGAATACACTTTAAAAAAGAGCTTTTTATATTATTTCAGTGGGCTTTTACTGCCTCAAACTCTGAAATTTCTTTGTCATCCGTTTCAGACTTGGAGTCTTTCATTCTACAGGTAAAACATTCCAACTTTCCACACCTTTACACTGAAGAGTATTTGATACTAAAGAAACTATTCAGGAACAGGTTTTCAAAGGAATGTAGAACAGAACTCCTCCAGGAAAAGAGGAAAAAATCTGGGCCCAACAATTAATACCGAGTATTTTGAAACTCTAGTACTTGCAATATATTCATTATTTCATGGGACTAGAAAATTAAGTCTCAACTCAAGCATACATATGTCTCAACACTCTCACTGTGAGTTCTTTCCATTACCCTTTTAAAGTTCTAAGAAATGAAATATTGAAGGAAAACACAGCCTAACTGTGAAAGAACCATGTCAAATTTTCAGTACAGTGTAGTGGACATCAGGACAATTTGTTCATCTAACCCACCTCCTCCGGCTCAATCAGCTTGAATTCCATGCCTCGGCCAGTCCATGCTATGAAGTGGGAGTTTGATGGGTCATCAAGAAGAGCTACCAAGAACTGCCACAGCTGAAGTGAGCCTCGCCGTTGATACGTGGGTCCCTCACGGTACATGCCTGGTTCCTGTTTGACGTCACCTGCACAGAATAACAGTGTTAGCTGAGCAATCCGCAGAAAGCATCATCACTCAGTTTGTCGGATAAGCTGGCAAGGCAATCATTATGGTCAATAAAATTGAAGAAAAGAATGATTACTACCCAACTGTCCACAAATGCAGTAGTTTCCTTTCTCCTGCTATTAAGTGTAAACACTCTTACAGTAACATATTCATACGCAAACAAGTTCCTAAATTCAGTCACACTTTATGGAAGTCTCTCTAAGCCTATCCCCATTTGCTTCTGATACATGTAAATCTTGCTTGCAAACTGTTTTGTAATATCCTCTGTCTGGAAGAGCTTGAACTATTCTTGTGAGCAACTGATGTCTGAAGAACTGCATTTGTGTACTATACTTTGAACAAGCCCTGGTTTTGGAAATTCAATGTGTGCTTCAAAAGCTGCAAAACTATTGAGTGAAACTTCTTTTGCATGCAAATTCTCTAAAGGAAAATTTGACAAAGTATTTGACTTGGACTTAAACAGCATGTGCTTTACATATACATATGCAAATCCTGCAGATATGTGAGTTCCTCTGTGGCATATTGGACTTGCATATAAGCACACATTACTTTTACTTGCATCTATATATGAGTATTCCCCTGAAAAGAAGTAGTTTGTCTAAAATTTCAAATCCAGATGAAGCTATTAAAACCAACAATATTCTGCTGTTCCACAAGCTGCCAGTGAAAAATTGTCCTGCTTCATCTATACTGTATCCTCTTGTTTTTAAATAATATTCATATGAACAACTCATGCAGACAACAACAGCTGAAAGGTTTGATGCTGATTTTCTGCAAACAATAACAATAATCCTTGAAAAACTGGCAGAACTCCTCGTTTAAAGTACCAGACCTGCAGCCCCTGTGAAAAAACACATGACCTGTTTAGTACCAAACCACAGCATTAGGATGGTCATTACAGAATGGCTCCAAGTAGTGAAAATAAGAATAATAATATTAAAAATGGAGCACTTCCTTTTGTAATCAGGAAATAAAATTGAGTCAATAGCTGTGGAAAACAAATAAATCAACACAAGGCTTTTTGGTTTATGCGAGTTCGAAGCTCCAGTCCTGAAAGGCTTTCTTTTTCAAGGACAATATTTTTCTTTTAATGATAGCTGAGCAATGCACAAACAGTAAGTGCAATACTACAGAGGATCAGGCTATTCATCTGTGTTGATCTTTGATATCAAATCAAGCAGCTTGAGAATCTACTTCTGAAACATCAAAGCTAGTCCTGAGCTTATCCCATTTTGGCTTTACAGACCAAAACATAGTAACATACTTGTTGCATTTTCTTCAAAAGTCATCAGGCTACAAGCATAAACACAAACATTTCTGTCATGATATCAGTTTTCTTGAGGACAAGGTGTTGTCTCAGTGAACATCGTCACAGCTACCAGTAGACTTAGTGCTTTACAAGCACTCAAACATTTCCAAATATATACTCTTTTAATTATACTTTTTAATTTTTTTTTATTATTTTATTTGTATTTCTCTCCTATTTTCATTCCTTCCTCTTTAAAAAACTCAACAAACAAAAAGGCTTTTCAAGAAAACAATGCACAAGTACTCCTCACAAAGAGTTTTAACCTTTTCTAGAACAGGGCCTGATCCCATTCCCATAAATGTAAATGTATTTGGTCACTAGTACTGAAAACAGATCAGGCACACAATGGTTTGGGGAAAAATGAAAAACCAAATAAACAACAAGACACAAACGAAAACAAAACCACATGACAGGATATGCTCGATGGAAAAGAAATGAACAAAAACATTCCAAAGCCAGCATAAAAAACAACTTTCAAATAAATCACCCTTTCAGTTAATGTGTCAATTCTACGACGATGCAATACTGGATTAAGCAATCCTCAGAATTAGGTGAAGGCTAATATTATTTAAATTCCTCCATTTATTTCCTACTCTTCCTTACCAACTCTGAAATACACATGACACTTCAGGTTGAATAACATGTAATTCTTTAGATTAATGTCATTTTAGAATCTCCCATTCTTCAGTAAACACAACAAATGCTGCTAGACACACAATAGTTTTGCAGTCCACCTAAGTAATTCTCAGGGAAAAACAAAGAAAATAAAGCAGAAAAAAAGAAAAAGAAAGCAAGAGTTTTCTAGCTTTCCTTGTAGCTATGGTCAGAGAGCTGTTCACAAGTTCATCAGAAGGTATCTCACCCTTCCTGTTAAAATAAATAAAGCTGGACATACATACAGTAACTCAAAGAAGCCACTCTAGCATATTTAAGTAATTGATCTCCAAATTACTTCCCAAAGTTGCAGACTAACAGAGTCATCGGCAAGAAATACTGAGTCCATCTACTTTGTCTATAATGAAATAAATCTGAAATCAACTGAGTTACATCAGGAAACTCATTTTACATTGGAGTAACTGAGGATAATTCGGGCTATTTATTTTACTTGACCCCAGAATCCCTCTTGAAAAAATTCTGTAGGAATAGGTAGATGATTTGTTTGTTATCAATCCTATTGAGAAATAAGCCACTAGTACAATGCCTAACATAGCATAAAAACACTTATACCAAACAAAAATGCCTGATATACTCACTCCCTACTATTCATCTCTTCACAGACAACAAGAAAAGAGGCTTAATATTCAGTAAAACCAGAGCTGTTTCTTTCTCCTCTGTTTTGTTAATTATAAGAGATGCTTTAATTAAATCTCTAACAAGAAGAGGTATGTGATCATCAGTGCAATGGAAATCCTCCCTTTACTTATCAACAGTACAGGAATTGAGCTCCTTTGCGCCAACTTTGGATACAGAACCCTTCAGTGGCAAAATCTGAACAACATTCTACTGAAAAGGAGACTTCGGCTGCAAGATACAAAGGTCAGCTTTGGTTGGGTGCACTGCAAATGGTGTGTTAAAGAATCCTAAATTAGAACATTACTGACCTTTTTTTTGATCAGCAACAGAGAAAAGTCCCTCATCTTTTCCTTTTTCATCTCCACACACAAGAAATGAGAGAGAGATGTGTCATACATACCGTCAAACTTCTCTGGAACAACGCAAGTGTCATCAAAAAACTGCCTAGGTCCCTTTTCATACATACAACCTGTAAGTAAAAGACAAAGAGGTGTTTATTTAAAAGATGCATGGAGAAAGATGAGACCATAGGCTTAATGCCAGAGGGAACACTAAGTCATACAGGAATCAAATTAATATCCCACATCCTTTACACAGCACCCAATCACAACATTTTGGCCACAGTACAGGAGTGTTTAATTAACGTACGCATTCCCAAAAGACTGCTGATTGCATCCTGCAAAAATGAAAAAGCATCCATTTTTCTTTATGATTTATTTCAAAATGTTTGCCTCATTTCCTGTTTGAGTTAGCATGGCTTTAACTTTTAGCCCTTAGTTCCTTTATGTCTTCTGCCTGCTAGACTAAAGTCCTACTCAGGATTTTTCTCCCTATCCATGCAGAAGACAAGCATTGGATGTTTACTCCAATTCAGGTAATTTTGTTAAATTTACTTTTGTCACTAAAAGACACTCTCTGTAACCCTGCATTCTTTCTAGAACTTTCTTCTGTGCACATTCCTACTTTGCAATATTATTTTTAATATCTTGACTAACCAGAACTATACTGGATGCCAGTAGCACCTTTGCTAGTGCAACCTGGAGAAGCAAAACATCTCCTCTTCTCCTGTCCCACTCTGACCATCTTTAACTATGTAAATCTTGCATAAAGATTTTTTGCCATATGCCTGCAATGTCTTCTTGGGCTGATTTCCATTGTGAAGCCATGTGGTCCATCTCAAAATCATTTTTTCCAATACACTGTTTCCTGATTCCATAGGTTTGGTCTATGTTCATCATATTAAAGAAAAAAAAAAAAAAAAAAAGGAAATGAAAAAACCTTTTTGTTTAATGTGTCCAGATTACCATGCAATTGAAATCACTTTGTGTGATTGCCCTGTCCTGCCCATTATTTACTGCTGTGCCATAAAGTTATCAATTAACTTTGTTCTATATCTTTAATGAAAATATTGAATAGCAACACTTCTGATTCCTACAGCTCTAACAGAAACAAATCCATTCAGTAATGGTTAGCCAATGACAACCACTTTTAGATCTGTCAGTAAGCCAGGTCTTAATGTATTTAATGTGTACTTTACTGATACTGGTTAGTGCTAACTTCTTAATCAGAATATAATGCAGTGGCAAATTGAATGCCATAAAAAAAAAATAGGCCAACTACACAATAAGAGAGACATGTATCTTTACCAATCAAACTTTTAATCTCAACAAAGAATGAAATCAGATTTCTTTGACATGACCTTTATGTCATAAAATCATGTTGACTGATTTCTAAACACTGAGAACAAATATTTACTATCTCTGTTTTTTCTGCATCATTCATAACAACTTTACCACTTCCAAGTACTTACGAGTGCATAACATGGCTGTTTTTCCTCAGTCTATACCATGATTAAAACTCACGTCTGTTGACCCTAGCCCTGCTTTTGTGGACTTTTCCCTAATGTCTTTCACCTCCATTAGTAAGCTTATACACTTCATGTAATTTCATATACCAACACTATTATAAATTTCCAGCCCTATTTCACCTTCCTTGTTACACACCACCTTTTATTTCTATTTTCTGCCTCACCAGAAACAGGTGGATTTAAGCAACTTTTGTTACCTTTCCATCTGTGGCTTTTCACTAATAAATGAAGTTTTACTAGAGGACTTTCATTCATACATCTGTTTGAATTCCCATCAATTTCTTTTAATTTTCTTTGGGTTTGTGAAATTAGTTCCTTGGAATAAAAACAAACAAATTCTAAACAAAAAAAATCATATACTGAAAAAAAGATTCATCAAAGCAGGAGAGTGGACGTCATAACTTCTTTCTCAGTGGTCATTTTTGCTTAGCTCTGCTGGTCTTCTTAATATGTATAAAATGCTATTACTCTGAATTATTAATTTTGACAATGATTTAGGCTCTGCCTTACTGAAGTCATTAAGAGCTCTGCTATATACAAAATGGCTTTACAATTTGGCTATCAAAAAGAACCAGAACACTGAATTTAAAAAATCCTAACAAATGGGGGAAAAAAGCAACAAACAAACATGCACTGAATCTTTCTAAGTACAAAATGGATTACTTAGCAGTTAACTAGTCTGTCACACCAAAAATCTTCAAAATATCATTTGAGCAGAATGTGTTGTATGGACAAATTTTTAACTGTCTCTTCCTTTCAACAGCTGTCGCCCTTGAAAACTAGAATGAGTAAATTCACAATAAAGTTGGTTCTATTCTAGTCAACTAGAAACTAGGTACTAGAATCTACAAAACTTCAGCACAGCAGAAATTCAAAACTGGGAAGTGAAAGACAATGGAGTCTTCTCATCAGCAGGATTAAACCAATGAACCTCAAATTCCTCCAGGTTGTGTTTTTTTTAATTTTTTTTTGCCATTTCTCTCATACAATACTTGAGCAATACAAAATAGAAAACTTAACTTCTGTTCTGTTTGGGTGAGCCAGGAAGCCTTCTTGCCTCATGTAAATGGAATGGCAGCTAGGCACTTCTGAAAGGAGAAGACAATTCTAGTCAATAGACTGTGTAGAATTAAAGAGTGCAGGTTATCAATGAGACAGACTGCAAGTAAAAGAGCAACAAGGAGGATGCATGTTACAATGAGATAGAACCTCACAACTCAGTCAGTGTTGCAGAGCAGAATGCACAAGGCATGGTGAAAGAGAAAATCATAAAGTGAAGATCATAGATCGCATTCAACATAGGCAGTTCACAAGCCCTTATTGCAATCAACTTAGCTACAAGCTGAGCCCTATGACACATACATTTGAGATAATTTACAGACCAAAAAATCCACACAAGGCAGTTCAAGTACTTTAAACCCTGTTCTTTTATATCCATCTTTGTAACTAATTCAACACAACATTTTTAATCAATTATACAGATAAACCTGCCCTACCAATCACATTAGACACTTAAAAACTCTACAAATACAGTATCATGAATGTAAGTTATGTCAAGGTGAATTTGCAGTAGGCTATTGGTTTTTAGACTCTGGTTTAGGATTTGGAAAGTTGAAGAAATTTCTGGAATTGCTATGCATTTAAACAGGAATTCAGCTACACCAGTTTGATCTTCCACCTGTGCATGTGCACTCTTAAAAAAAGAAACCTCTTAAAATAATAGATAGTGTACACACTCTAAGTAATGCAAAAATCTATTTTCCGTTCCTTTTCTACTCAAATTTGCAGGAAGAATGACAAGAAAAAAAAAAAAAAAGAAAGAAAAATTAATGAAAATTATATTCTTTATATGTTTTTTTGCTGTTAGGGATAGTGCAAGACACTGGGAACAAACAATCTGTGCACAGGGACTTGCAAAGATAAATAAATCATACATGTTTGCCCTTCTAGATCACATTTAACTCACTTCATGGATATCAAAAGTCTTGCTTAACTCAGTCTATTAGATCTCGTGATAAATTTCTACCCTAATGTATGCAATCTGTTACCAGTAACTTGTAACTCTAAGACATGTAAACAGTGGTTGAAAGAGCAGACATTATTTTTCCAACACTGCCTAAAAACTTTTCCAGAATGTTATTCCAAATTTCACTGTTCACTGCCTAGTGATGAGTATCAAAGATATGGCAGGATAAGAAAATAAGGTTTTACAATGGCTTCACAAAACAAGTGAAACATGGGACAGCAATAAGTTTCCTCCAACAGTCCCTGGCTTCTCCTGAACATCTGTGCCAAACTCTTCATTACCTCCTCTCAATGAAATGCTCAGTGCCTGCCTGCTTTCTAACGACTCAGACAGCTATTCTGAGCAGCCACACATTTCAACAACTCAGCGATCACAGAAGTCAAGTATAGCTCTGTAGACTAGAAGTCAAGGCTACAAGTAGTGGTTCACCTGCAAAGAATCACTCATCTTAACAAGCAGACTGAGTTTTAAGGAGAATGGAAAAATCTACGTAAAAAAGAGGAAGCTGAAGAACTGAAACAGATGCTATTTTCTATTTTAGGTAAAAATTCCCTAGTATTGGCAGCAAAACCCTTTTTGACTCATGAACTCCGCTCTTGCAAAGTGATATAGCAGAGTACACAGAACAAAGAATTATGTATGCATTTAAGAAGCTACATTTTTAGCCAGCTTGGGGTTTCATCTCTCATGCTCCTAAAGTCAATTATAATTAACATCTGGAGTCTTTTTTAGACAAGCATTGTTTCTACCAACATTACTTAATCTTTTGGTTAGCTTGCACTTAAACAGTCCACAGAGGGCCGAAAAAATACAGCAGGCAAGTTTATTTCTCGTAAAGTAGCTAGAGTCTTGTTATCCTAAAGTGCTATCAGTTAATTTATGAGTATCAGAGTGGGTCAGACTCTAATCAAATTGTAGAAACATTTCCAAAGTGATTATTCAATCAAATGACTAACATGGTTAATTAGGAGCCATAAACATTGCTCTGAAGTTCATCAAAGTAATGACTTGCCCAGAAAAATTACTGCTAATTAAATTGCCTGCTGCTTTCATTTCTACCTTATCTAATAAAAAGTCCAACCAATGAAATTTAGCATTGCAGTTTTAAATTGTACTAAATGCTTGACTAAAACCCAGAAGTATTTTTACTAACTAAACAGAGCTACTTCAAAAGAAAACATTTTAGTACAGAAATTACAGGGCAATTATATGTTTTCTTCAAGTATTGTTTCAAGACAACAAATGAGAGAGAAGTGGACATAAAAAACTGCCAGAGAAGAATGCAAGCATTTGAGTGACTGATTTGACCACCTTTCAGCAATTTTTAGTCTTTGAGGAAACATGTGCCTGGCTTCAGGACAGGCAAAATTCTTGCTTCAGGCTTTCTGTGAACTAGTTCATATTGTGAAGTTACAACATCTCAAGAACAGCAGAATACAGTTTTCTTGTCATTAAAAAAACATGGAGACAAAAAAATATTTATTTTTTATAACTAATCTGAAATACTTAGAGGTCGTTCTTCATTGCTCCTCTTGATAGCAACAACATAACAGTCATCTTAAAACACTGAATGTGACATTTTATCATGTTGGTCTGAAATATTTTTTCCCCAAGAGGTACAGTTTTAAAATTACTGTAATGTAGACACTGCAGAAGTACTTTTGCCCCTAGAAATGTCGCAGAGAAAGCACTAGAAATAAGCAAAAAAGCAGAAAAAGCCCAAACAGATCTCCACAGGATGAGAAAAATCTGCTGCCAAATTCAGCTGACAGAGGTTCTAGATGTAATCATTGAATAAGGCACTTGAGTAGACCTTGGTAAGAAAGCATTTCACGTTAATTACCATGCCAGAATTTAAAGGATTAGGCTGTCACAGCCTGGTATAACTGTAACTGAGTAGGAAACTTTTAAATCCCATTTTCTGATTGTTATTCAGAAGCAAGGGCTAGGTTTCAGACCCACGAACTCACCCAGAGCAGAAACTATTTTCTGCCCGAGTCTCTTGCAGGAGAAGATGCTGGGAAGATTAAGCTTCCTGAGGCATCAGGATGAAGCAACTTTCTTCTTGTGAATGAAGCAGAAACTGGGAACCTGAATCAAGATTTCCTCCTCAGCTGCTCCTTTAACTGACATTACACAGCCTTCCTCACTAAAGAACAAGTTGACACATTGTGCTCTCACTCTGAACTACTTTTCAGTTCACTGTAACGGCAGCATTCTAAGATCTGGAAGCCAGGGGCAGGGCCCACATACGTGTGAAAGAGCAGAGCATGACACGAGGTGCTGCACCACAGAGAGGCAGAGACCAAGGCTCTGATTGGCACATAGGCCAAATCAGGATCGCTGCAAATGCCAGTGGTGCCAAAACTGGAACCCACCTACTGCTGCTCATCCACTTCTTTGATTTACATTTTGTTACCAACCCAGCCATAATAACAACAGAAGCAATTTTCAAAAAAGTTTGGAAAGACTACTTGCAGTGGATACAGCCACCCGCGTAACTTATACCATATCCTTCTGAATTATCCTCAGTGCGGTCTGAAAAAGAATTATAGGTACTTTGGCTCTTATTTCAGTGACTCAGAGTTGGTATATTTCCACATACACTTTAATATGCTTTGCTACTTTTCTTCCTCTGGGCAAGAAATACAGCACGTGCACACTCTCGCTGGTGCCATGGGGCACAGGAGGGCAGGCACAAAGCCTTCAGGTGCTGCAACATGTGCCAGACCAACGCTGCCACTAGGCCTGACCAGCCCATGCTGCCTGCTGCTTCCCTGCGTTGTTACTCCTCTTTGGTATATGCAGAGATGGCTGGGGCAGTGGGAGAGATTGCTACTGAGTGCAGAGACAAAAGTAGCCTTTTTAAAACAAAATGATCAAGTTAGAACACATCATACTTTTGGCCTCAAACTTGGTAACATCATAGTCATGCTGCAAATAACTGTTCTGTTCATGAATTTCCAAGAGTGCTGACAAACTGTTTACAAAGAAGTGCTTCATCCACCACCAAAACCCTTTCAGCCTCATGGTAGAAAGCAGCTGTTGCAGCCACTGAGAGGCTCTGACCAGCTTAGAGGTGAAGAGCAATACACAGAACATGGCTTTTCAGGAAGAAATGGCAGTTCTTCAAGCTCGATCACAGCTAAGAAAAGTTCATCATCTGTGTTGCACAGAGAGGTGTACCAAATGATTCTTTCTGATACAAAACATGCAGAAACACATCGAAATTAAAACTCTTACATCTCTGCACAAAAATAAATGCATGTAGAAATACAAAAACTAATGGCAGTCTTCCTACACTGAACTCACTTCCACATGTTCACAACTCAAATGTTGACGGATTGGATTTTAGTCCAATTACCTTTGAAAACACTACCCTCTCAGAAACTACACTATTACAGCACAGTACTACAAACTGGCAAAATCTTGACAAAATGAAAGTCAGCATTAATTTCTTATTAGCAAGGGCAGAATGAACTATGTAAATGCGTGGAAGTTACAAAGATTAAAAAAATGAATCAGTGTCTCCTGTAAAAATCCATCTGAAAATTAAGCTTCTTTTCCCCAAATCATTATGCTACTTAAACACATTCAGAATTGAATGTTTTGTTATTTGTTTTGCCTGGCTTCCATGACAAACAAAAACATCTACAAGTATGTGCACTCAAAGATAGAGACAACTCCTTCTAAAAGATTACTAATTAATATTTCTTACTTTCTTACATTTCACTTGATAAAAATCAACCAGGTTGGGCCCTAACAGCTCACTTTTAAGTGCAATTATCACACACAGAAAGAAAACCTTAAGCAAACAGCTTCCTTTCCACAACTTTGGTTTTTAGATCTATGACAGCATCTAATGCATTTTCTGAGACCAGATGTCAGCAGCCTGTCTGGGCGATGTGTAACTTTTTATACGGCAGAACAGGAAAACAAAGGCTCATACATTCAGCACTGAAATGAAATTCCACATGGAACCAATCATTTGAGCATACTTTAAAATCACATATTTGCTTTTATTAACCTCAGTAACTGTAAAATGTATTTTAAACATTGCTT